GTGATCACCGTTTTACAGCTAAACAAGAGAGGCACAGAGAAGTGAAATAACTAGGGCAAAGGCACACAGTGAGGAGAGTTTCCCTAACCACAAAAGGTCCCTGTGATATTAGGGACCTTGGTAATCCACCAAACAAGTGATTCTCAAGAGGAAAACTATATAGTTGATTAAAGGGAAAGAAAAGGACTGGCTGTATAACCTAACACTCTGGGAGACTGAGGCAGGGGGATCTCAGGTTTGACCCAACCTGGGCAACCTGGCAAGACTCTGTCTCAAAATAACATATAGAAAGATCTGGAGATTAGCTCGGTACAAAGGCAGTGGGTTCCATTCCCAGTATGAAGAAGAAAGAAAAAGGGAGGGGGTAGCTGAGAGCATAAGACACTGAAACCCTGGGGTAGAAACAGCAGAGCAGAAACCTGCTCACATGTGAGGCTTCGAGGCCCAGTGCCCTGTTCTGCTACAGGCTCCGTTAGAGTTGCTGCTTTAGTAAATTTACCAAAGAAGTTAAACAAAAATGTCATGTTCAGGGCCTTAAGTTGAATCCCCAGTGTAACTAAAATACTAAACTAATTTTGAAGTCTTTATTAATAGCAGTACTATCTTTTCATCTCCACTGGTTCATGCTGGTGTAGGACAGCATGGCTAACTGCAAGAGAAATACAAGAAAGGAATTTATAAAGATGAAGTCAGTGATAACTTCTGCATTAACTCAAGGGCTAGGATGTAACTCAGTGATAAAGTATGTGCCTCAATGCACAAGGGCCTGTGCCAAATTCCAGCACCAAAAGAGAAAAGAAAATAAAAAAGGATAGAAGAAAAGAAAATGTAGACTAAGAGTGACATCTGAAGTACTGAACTGAAAACACCCACAATAAGGTCTGGATCCCCCTGGACACACAGGCAACACTACAAGTGGAGGGAAGAAAGTGGAAATCCAAATTTGTGTTGGAATTGAACTTGGCAGCCTCTCCCCAGGAGCAACTTGAAAGCCAGAAATACAAAATACTGCACAGTTTAGTCCGTTAATTATCCCTGCCACCCGGAATATTTTTGTTGGACAGTCCTGATTTAAGTAAAATTGGCTTGTAGGTAAATGGGTATTTTTTTCAAGTTTTTATAGTAATTCCGGTTCAGTAAATACTATCACTGTTTTTCCTTTCTAAATACATGGTTGGGTTGGTTTTTTTTTTTTTTTTTTTTTTTTGTCTTTTTCGTTTTTATCGGTACCAGGGATCGAACTCACGACTGCCTGCTTGCAAGGCAGGCGCTTATGCCACAGATTTATGCTAAATCCCCAGCCATAGTTGGGTTTGATTGTAACATTTGACTTTTCACAAAGATTGCAAATGTCATCTCAAAACCTATGAAAGTTGGTTTTATATTTAGTTTTATTTAACTTGTTAAATACTGGGGATATCCTTTATTCGCAAAACCAAGCAAGACTCCCCTGTTTAAATTTGTGTTTATTAACCTGTTAAAGGGAATGGTTGAAGACGAGGAGCAGTGTCTATATTTTTGGTCTTGACTATGCCAATTTAATTAGAATTCCCTGTATCTAAAAAGTGCTGCCTTTTATTTACTGAAAGGCATTTTTAGTGTAGTGGTATAAAACCAAATAAAGAACATTTAACATTACTCACATTTTATAGTTGATCTATAAGTTAGGTCCTTTTAAAAGTTAGCATGATATAATAGCAAGTTAGACTTGACTTTTGAATTCTTTGGATCAGACTGAGTTCAGGATGGAATTTAAACAGCTATTTAAAAACACAAGACTGAAACTACTGTTGTATGTGTGATTGGTAGTGGTGCTTCCTGTCAGCTTATTAGAAGAGTTAAAGTGGGGAAAGTAGAAAATGAGCACAAATTTGTGTGTGACCATAATACTTAATTAAAAACAAAGTCAAATCTAAAAAAAATTATCCCTGCCACCTCTAATCCTTGGCACGCTTCTTCCTGCTGTTCACCACCAGCCAACATAGCCCCTCCAGGAATCTTTTTCTCCTGCACAGTTGGCTGTAGGTTGTAAAGATCGTAATAATGTCCTGTCAGATCTTGCTAATAGTAGACATTAAGTAATACACTCTTCTCCAAGAATACAGGAGCCCCACCCCCACCCTGTGCTTATTGAAGACTGAATTATTCTGAATAAGAAATGGGAAAACTTGAGCACAGGAAAAGATTATGAGAAAATAAAAACAGCCAAGGTCAAAAGCAAAATAAGAAAATCTCAGGTGTCAGAATCAAAAGTGGCAAGATTAAAAGCCAACGAAAACAAATGGGAGAAGATGCACTCCAAGAAGCAGAACAGAATGGAGGACAAGAAAAGGAAAATACAAAGTTAGAAATGAAACATAATCAGTGCATGAATTAAGCAGTAAACTAGACACAGCTGGAGAAACAAACTAGTGAACTAGCAGGCAGATTGGAGGATATCACTCAGATTGCAGAAGAGAGCAAAAAAGTTAGTATTTAAGAAAAAAAATAAGAGATGGGCAATAAAATGAGAAGCTTTCCATATAGCTAAAAAGAATCCAAGCAGAATAAGTGGCAGTATTCAGAGACATAGTAATTCACATTTTTCCCAGAGCATGAGACCAAGATTACATATGCAAAATAAATCCTGAGAAAGATGAGCAGTAAAGCAGTAAAACATAAAAGACAAAAGAGATTTTTATCTGCTGAAAGCCAGCAAAAAAGAAAAATAAGTTTTCTGTGTGAGGATTGCTGAGAACACCAAAGGACTTTTCAACAATAGAGGCCCAAAATACAATAGAATAATTATTCAAACTGTCAAGGAAAAGTAACTGTCAGCCAAAAATCCTTCACCAACTAAAATCTTATCCAAAAAGTAAGGGCAAACCACGTGTGGTGGCACACACCATAATCACAGCATTGTAGAGACTGGAGGTAGGAAGGTAAGTTCAAACCCAACCTGGGCAGTTGAGCATCTTGGGAAGGCCTTGTTTCAAAATTTACCAAAAAAAAGGGCCAGGACAGTAGGTCAGTGTAAAGGGTATAGGTTAACTTCCAGTACCAACAAATAAACACATAAATAAAATAAAAACTAAGAGCAAAATACATTTCCTGCCATATACAAAGACAGTGGAGAACTAGCAGACAAAAGAAGTTAGTAAGGATATAGAAAGTTTGCACAAATGCACCTAGCCAAATATATGCATTAATGAAAAATAAATCATAAATATTTTCAAGTACATGTGACACATTTATAAAATTGGTCATTGGTCATGTGTTGTATTAGAAAGGACATTTCCATAATCCCCAAAGAATATCATGCCAATCACATTTTTTTACCAAATGCAGTTGAATTATAAATCAACAAATCTTCAAATATCACCAAAAATGAGTAGAAATGCTAAATATAAAATAGGAAAACAAAAACCCCTATAATGAGTAGAAATGCTAAATATAAAATAGGAAAACAAAAACTATAATTTTCAAATTAAAAATGAAAGTAATAAAAAGTATATAAAAAAGTACTATTAATCAAAATTTACAGAACTTAGTTAAAATATTACCTAGAAGGAAATTGACAGGTGCAGAAATACATTTTTAGAAAAAAATGAAAAGTAACAAGCTAAGTGTTCAAGTAGAAAATAGAATAAATTTTTTTAAAAACCCAGGAGCTGCATAAAGAGGCTGAGGCAGGAGGATTACTGCAAGTGCAAGGCCAGCCTGATCTACATAGCAAGACTGCCTCAAAAAAAAAAAAAAAAAAAAAAAAAAAAAAAAAAGAAGATGAAGAAGACAAACCGGGGCTGGGGATTTAGCTCAGCGGCATAAGCACCTGCCTTGCAAGCAGGCAGTCGTGAGTTCAATCCCCAGTACTGATTAAAAAAAAGGGGGGGGGGGCGCTGGAGGTTTAGCTCAGCGGCATAAGCGCCTGCCTGGCAAGCACTAGGTCATGAGTTATCCCTAGTACCAAAAAAAAAAAAAAAAAATTATATAAACAGTTTTTAAAAATAGAGAAAAAAGGAAAGTTATCCTCTTTATTTTATAAGAAAGTAAGACACTCAACATAGTATGTAAGTTCAAAACCCCAAACAAAATGCCTAAATGTAAGGACTTTCAAAAAATACTGTATAGGGCCCAGGATACAGCTCAGTGGCAAAGTGCCCACCTGGGAAGCATGAGATCATAAGTTCAATTCCTGGTACCAAAAAAAGAGAAAAAGTTAAAAATACTGTATATCAAGTTTCTGGAGTAAGCAGTAAAATACTTTAGGATAGGGCCCAGAGGAAAGGATATGGCTGTGGGCATAACACAAAGCTAATTGTGACTGGAAAATTGCTCGAGCTGCATCAATTGTATATAGAGGTTCACTTTGTACTCTAGTCTGCTTTCTGTATATGCTGCAGTTTTCCTAACAGAGGTTTTTTGTCTTTGTTTTCAGTGTAGGATGGCCAGTATTCACAGTGCACCCCCATGAAGGAGAAGAGGGGGGTTTTTTTGCAAGACGCTATAGGGTGTGCTATGTGAACTTCCTCTGTCTTCTCTTTGGCAAAAGTAAAATCATCAGTGGGGATGTGGCTCAGTAGTAAAGCACATGTCTATGGTCAGAGGCCCAGAGTTCAATGCCAACACTGCAAAAAAGGAAAAAAAAAAAATTCTCATAATGCGTCTTTCTGAGGAGATTGTTGGTTTTGGAGGGCTTGACAATAGGACCAGAGCACAGCTGACATGGGTGTGTCACGTCTTGTCTGCCTGTAAGTGGCCCTAGAGAATGTATGCAGTGCAGTTGTGTATCAGAACCACAGCAAGGTTTAAATATGCAGACTCCAGGAGGGGAGGACCAGCAATTCTTATGCAAAACTGGGTATATTAACTGGCAACACCTGAGCCCAAAAAATATTTCTTGGCTCATGACCTGGTATATTGACCCCTCAGCCTAGGCACGATCTACTTCTCAAAAGCACAAAGCTCCCTCTGGATGACAGCATTTGTAAAAAGTTCCTTTACGTCTGCTTTAATTCCAGGACAGGATCCCGTGGCTCTGCCACTTGCATGACGTTTTACTAAGGTAAGAGCTGATCTAGCCAAAGTAAAAAACCCCATCAGAGAAAGAGTGGAGATTCACTCTGAAATCACAACTGGATGATGAGAAAGCAAGAATCCCAGAAATAGAGTGCTCTTCTATCAAGTAATGGTGCTGATGTTGAGCAGCCACAGATAGCAAGCTGCTCAGCCAGGCTTTGGGGACCATGCTTCTGTCAGCTCCATGGTGAGGCGTAGCTGGGAGTTCCCATCTGCCACGTGGCTTCCACAGGGCTTTCTTCCGAATAACATGAGTCATACACAGTTCCTGCTCACAGAATATGGTGGGAGATACGATGGTGCATGGGTTACACTTAGAACAACAGCTTACACACAGTAATCATCAGAACTAATAACCAATGCCATCCCTGCCATAGTCCATCTAAGTCATCACTTTCTTTCCCTACCAACCTGTGACACCCAGCACGGGTCCACTCATAAGAATGCAGGTAACTGGCTGCCAAGATTGGAGCTGCATTGTCCAGCTCCAAATCATGCCTCTGAGCTATCTGCACCCAAGTCTGGTCCTACTGGGAATGCTGGATGGGACTGGAGAATGAAGAAAGGGCAGGGAATGGGTTGTAAATCTGGCTTTCTAAAGTGAAGGTGTTTTATCAAACCTAACCCATCTGGGCCATAGAAGTCAGTATGTTTACCACTACAAATTCAGAGTGCTTTTTTCATACCTTACTGACATGACTGGGAGCCAAATTTTCACTTGGGCCTAGGATTTGGATTTAGGGCCTTCAGGGTTTGGGAGCACCTGTCCAGCTGGGTCTCTGTCCTCAGTAGACTCCTGGGAGTCTCTTTACAACTGTACTGGCCAGCAGTGGGAGCAGAAGTCAGGACTCTGGCCAGGAGGGCACAGATTAGATCCAGGATAAGCATGGCCTCCCCATGTTCCCAGTTTAACTTGCTGTGGACCAACTCCAGCAGAACCTTCTAGAACCTTTTTAAGTTTTGCTTTGTTTTTTGAGACAAGGTATCCCTATGCAGTCCAGGTTATGCTTGAACTTATGTGGCTCAGGTTGGCCTCGAACTGATGGCAGTCCTCCTGCCTCAGCCTCCCAAGTGCTGGGATCCTAGGCATGCACCATCATGCCTGGCCAAAACTCTTGAGTTCAGAAGAGAGCTTTTGACCAGATCTTCAGGCCAGCCTTTACCTTCTTACTTCCCGAGTCCCTTCCCTTAGGCTTCTTGGTGCTGGGTCAGGCTGCCTCAGGTTTTCCCCATGGTGCGTCCCTGCAAGCACTTCACATCGTGCTTGCCTTGCCCACTGAGGGACCCACGCTCCCTTCTCCTGCTTTCTTCAGCAATTGCCCAGCTCCCCCATCTTGACTGCAGAGTGGGTGGGGAGAAGCTGTGGACCTGGGTTGAGCTGCTTGCCTGGCACAGGTGCATACCACTAGCTCTAGGCACCTCAGTTCACTTCCTTACCTCAGCTGTGTGGGCAGCTAACCTGAGCAGCCCCAGTAATGGCAAGGGTCACCTGGGAAGTGAACTTTGCCCAAGACTGCAGTCCCTAATCATTGACCTTTAACCTAAAGCCAAGTACACCTGGTGCTTAAACTTAATTTCTAACACCTACTGGCAGAGAAAAGTAGGAGTCCTCCACCTAGAATGCAAACAGTTTTCCTATCTTTATCCTTCCTCCTTTCTTTGAAAAAAATAGAGATACAGCCTCAGGACAGCGCGTGGTTCTAGCCTGCTCAGCCCTGAAGAAAATGTACAGAGACATCCTAACAAGAGGAAAAGATAGTGCACCTCCAAAATATGGGGGGTCAAAAGAAGAGAAGCCAGCGGAAGTGCAGCTATTGGTGATCCATCTGAGCGGCTCATTCAAGGCCATCTCTGGACGCTTGCTCCAAAGGAAAGGACATTTCATGCCCCCTGAGTTACTGCAGTCCCAATTTGATACTCTGGAGCCCCCGACAGCCCCAGAAAACTTCATCCAAATCAGCGTGGACAAAAAGCTTTCAGAGATCATTACTACAGTTATAGAAACTCTGAAAGTAAAGCAAGACTCATTTCCTGTCAGTGCTCTAGAACTGGCTTGAATCTGTCCCATTTCAAATTCAAATCTTGCTGGAGTCTCCTTGCCCATGCTGTATTCTAAATCCTTAAAGTGCACAAACCAAGGTGCGATAAGATACATTTGCCTAATTGCAATTGTAGGAACTTGTGATGTACTTGGCATCATGGGCTGCACAGGGGGAGAAGGAGAAAGGAAATTGAAAAGTAAAGCTAAGATTGAAGTTGAAATTAATGTGATGCAATCAGATGACTACAGGAAATTCATAATCCATGCTGGATTAGTCATAGTCATTACCTGGTTTAGAACATTCTCCTTCATGTCTGTATGTTAATAATAAATGAAACATGGCTGTTCTTGGCATCCCCTAGAAATTGGTCTCAGGAACAAAAATGTGCAGAGTCGGCCACCTACCTGCAAGTCACTTCATGCACTTAATCTGTTCCAGTTTCTGTCCTTGAGCTGTGGTTCACAGCAGTGGCTCTCAAACTGAGGTCTCCAAGGCCATTAACAACAGCACAAGTGAGCTGTGTCCAGTTGACCCAGCAGCCTCAGACAAACATGTTTATCAGCAGCAAAACCCAAGTTTCTTGCCTTCTGGCTAAAATTATGTCAACTCAAACTCAACACTGTCTCTACTAAGCACTTGTGTCATGTATGTGGTTGTAATTTAAACAGAAAATTGCATAACTACTAATTAAAAGGGGTTGTTTTGAAATTTAAAGCATTTGACTTATTGTTTAATCCATTTTATTGGTACTTGTGCCATACATAATGATCACATTCTTTGTATGTAGTCTGTGCCTGTGTCTGACACCTCTTGATTCTGTTTTGCCTCCTCTGCTCCCCTCCCTTCACCTTATTTATGACTGTTTCTCTTTTTCCCCTTTTCTTTTCCTTTCTTTCCTTTTCTTCCTTCCTCTTCTTGTTCTTTCCCATCTGAACATTTTCTTCCTACTTTCCAATTACCTATCATCTATTTTGGTCTTTGATTACACTTCTGGTTTCTCACACCAGGAAAACAATGATGTAGTATTTAAATGTGTGTCTGTTTCACTTAAAAGTATGGTCTGTGCTGGGTTTGGTGGCAAATATCTGTAAATCCCAGAACTCAGGAGGCTGAGGCAGAAGGACTGCCCTGAGTTTAAGGCCAGCCTAGACTATATAGTGAGACCATCTCCAAAAATTAAATAACAAACATATGGTCTCAAGTACAGCCATTTACCTAAAAGTTCTCAAATTAATCAAAAGGTAGAGAGTAGCCAAAATGCTTTATGATGACGAAAAGGATTTTAGCAGAATAAAGATTAAAAATGATTACATTAGGGAAAGTTCAAGTGAGGAGCTGACAAAATAGTTCGAGAAGCTCCTATTCCTGAATGTCTTCAAATCTGCAAACTGTTAGAGCTGGAAACAGAATTCTGCAATCAGCTTTAGTGTGTGGTGATGCAGGAATGCACAAGGCATGTGATTTCAGCTTCAGTGCCAAGCGGCAGGTGTTCAGGACCTTACAGGTGTGATCCTGAGGGGACCTCTGACATTCCTGTGCCTCTCTGCTGGTGTGTGACGCTGGGACACCTGTTAGGTACGAGTGTCTTCACCTTTCAGCACTGACTTGTCTCCTATTCGAATCAACGCGGCAGCTCAGAACCCTGGTGGACAGTCTCACAATTCATCGCGTTACATCATTCTTGTGCCTCTCCTTCTACTGTATTTAAGACAAGTATCTATTTTGTTAGTGACAGGACAGTTTCTTTAAGAATACACACAGCCATCCCTCTGTGTCTACAAGGATGCTCGGCTCCTTGCATAAACTAACACTGGTCGCTGGTCTAGCCCAGGGACAGGTTCCCCCCAGTATGCTCAGAGCCCTGGGTTCAAACCCCAGCACATGTGTGCACATGCACAAAGCAAAATGCTACAGTAGTTGCATATAACCTACAAACATCTGTACACTTTAATCATTTTTGGATTACTTACAATATCTAATAGAATAAATATTATGCAAACAGTATACTGCATTGTCTAGGGTATGACAAAAAAATGCTGAGGACAGATACCATACTTTTAAGTGTTTGATCTGAGGTTGGTTAAATCTGGATATAGAATCCATGGGCACAGAGGGACCACAGTATAGTTAAAGTGGGCCACTTCAAGATAAACTCAAAGTACATGGTTTACAAACATACAAAAACTGCAAAGGTGATGCAAGGGTATCAGGGCTGATGGACCGGCCGGCCTCTGCAGGGCAGTGGGAGTGGGAGAGCACTCCAGGAGACTGTGCATGTGTCTGCTGCCCACCCTCCTCTGCAGAAGCCATCAGCGATGGATCCGAGGCAGTGATGAAAGGGTACTGCCGCCTGGCCAAGCCGTGGCACATGCTGTGAAGCACAGCACTGGAATGTGGATGGTGTCAGTGGAATGGGAGGCAAGGGTGCTGGTGCATCCTTCAGTGGTTCCCAGGGCTTCATTCTACTCCAACAAGGCCACAGGCCATAGGGCCACTGCTTAGCTCTGGCAGAGTTCAGAATGAACCCTGCATTTTCTTTTACAAGGGCACAGTCCATCTTCAGTCTCAGGAGCTACCAATACAAATGCTAGAGGAATGAAAAGGCCCTTTCAGGCAGATGGCATTTTACCTAGGAAAACATGAGGCATGGTGTTTCTACTCTGCCAAGCTATGGGGCCTTTCTGTTGGCTTCAGATTCCATCTCACCTAATACTCAGTGTGCAGGCACTGGACACCGTCCATCTAACCACCCCAGCTGGATGGAAGTCTCCTGCAGGTGCACGGAAAAGCATCAGCAGACCCACTATGCATAGTGGGTCTGGACTGGGCTGTCATGGAAACCCTGTAGGGTTGCAGATGGTGACACGAGGCCTTGGCTCTCAGCTGGCTTGGGCTAGGAAGAAAAGATGAGGGACCTGGTATCCCAGGCTGGAGTGCTTGGGAGAAAGGAAGGGTGTGGTGGGGCCCTGAGGATTGGATTCAGGCCTGCGGTGCCCCTGCCTCCTGGCCCCTTCCTCCCAGAACAGAAACCAAGCCCAGACGGCCTTCCTGCCTCCTCTGGGCCCACCTCTATAAAGAGGGCACCAAGTCCCCGACCACAGGGCTCCACAGCTGAGAAGCAGCCAGGGCCGGGAATCCTATGGTGAGGTCAGGCAACCAGGACCCCACTTGGGTCTGCAGTTTGTGCTAAACCCCACCTGGAAGGCACATGCGACCCTGGTAAAGTTCAGGCTGGCTTGGTGCTGACCAAAAGCCCCACATAAAATTCACAAAGGCTACAGGTGACACTTGGGTCTGTCACATGGGCAGGAGCAGCAAAGAGTGAGTTACTTAACTGGGACCGTGGGGAAAAGGGATCAAGGAAAAAAGGATACGATGAACTTCCTGTCTGGCTGAGGACACTTGGGTGCAATAGCCCACAGGGCAGCTGAGCTGGCTGAGGCAGTCTGCCTGGAGGAAAAGGACAGGTCACTTAAGGCCCTTTTAATAAAGCCCAACCCTGCATACCCCGTGTGTCTCAGTTTAACAGAGCAAACAGGTTGGTAAGGCAGAGGTCTAGCAGCTGATGAACTGATAAATAATCTTACAATGGAGTATTAGTCATGAAAAGGAGCAAAGTACTGATACATGCTACATGAATGAGTCCTGGAAATACTGTGCTAAGTGAAAGCAACCAAACACAAAATGCCATGTATCACACGCTATGAAAGGTCACAACAGGCAAATCCACAGAGGTTGGAAGTATCAGTGGACTGCTAGGGGACAGTAAAGGCAGGAATTGGGACTAACTGCAAACAGTTCCAATTTTTTTTTTTAAGAGAAAAAAAATTTTCAAAGTAAGAGGGAAATGGTTAATGCATTGCCTATTATCTTTAAATTACTCGAGTACAAGATGCCAGCATTTAATTGTCCAAACAATATTAGCACAAACCTTTTTCAATGAACTAAAAGGAATTAGTAGTATAACTTATTTTATATATAGGTGTGTGTGTTTCCCTTCCTTTTCTCCATTGCCCTATCCGTCTCTTTCCTTTTGAAGCTTTCTCCCATTTTACAGAATCTATTGTATATTTTGGACCCTATTTACACTTTCAGCTTCTCGTACTACGGAGACACACATGTTGACACATGCAAGTCTGATTTATTTCACTTATGAGTACAGTCTCAAATTGCATCCACTTACCTATAAAATACCGTATCTTTTTCATTCATTCTTCAGTGGATGGCCATTTGGGTTGTTTCCAGAATCTAGCTATTACAAATTGTGCTGCTATAAACATGCACATATATCATGGTGGTACAATGTTTTTAATTCTTCCGGGAAAATAACCAGGAGGGGAATAGCTGGGTCAAATGGAACCTCCAACCCTAGCTGTTTGAGGAATTCCCACTGTTTTTCACAGTGGTTGCACCAGTTTATATCCCCACCAACAGTGGAGAAGGGTTCCTTTTTCCCCACAACCCTGCCAGCATTTGTTATTGGTTGATTTCTTGATGATAGCCATTCTTTCTGGGTGAGATGGAATCTGTGTCTTAATTTGCCTTTCTTAAATGACCAATGATGCTGAACATCTCTTCATATATTCGCTGTTTGTATTTCTTCATCTGATAAGTGTGTATTCATCTCAAATGCCCATTTTTTAAATTGAGTCTAACTATGGGAGGTCTGATTTTTAGTTCTTTACATGTTTTTGACAGTAATCCTTTGTCTGAGAAACAGCTAGTAATCATTTTCTCCCATATTGTGGGCTGTCTCTTCATTCTGATGGTAGTTTCTCTTACTGTGCAAAAAGCTTTTTAATAAGAAGACATCTGAGTTGTCGATTCTTTGTGATAGTTCCTGTGTTCAAAGCTTCTTGCTGGAGTGATAGAAATGTTCTGGAATTGGATAGCAGTGGTGTTTGCACAACACAGGATATACTAAAAAGTACCAAAGTGTACAAACTTGGTCTATAAATTACCTCAATTAAACAATTAATCCAATGAGCTAGGGGTTTAGCTCAGTGGCACAAGCACCTGCTTGGCAAGCATGAGATCCCGAGTTTGATCCCTGGCACACACAAAAAAATTAATCTGCCAAATAACCTCAGTGGGTGAGAGGTACAAGGGCAGCTCAGGTGTCTTCCCTTCCTACCTGAGAAGGCTAGAAAAATAGAACGAGGTGGCAACCTTGATTCAATGCTCTCACACACCTAGAAATGACCCCTGGTTTAAAGACAGGTATTTCTGGGCCTAGTCTCTTAACAGCAACCAAGTTCCTCATCTTCCCTCAGCAGCAAAGCGCTGACTGATCCTATCTTGCAGGGCAATGTGCTGAGCAGGATATACTGAGAGGCAGATTGTGGTCTGTTCTGGATTTGAAGACACTTTTGATTGTGTTCTGTACTTTGTGAAATGCCTAAGAAGATAGCAAAGACACCCTGGCTCCTGCACTGTAACTCATTGGAGACTGAACCTGGAACAGTACTATATATGAAGGAATGTTACTCAGCTGTACAGTGAAGTACAAGGCATGACATGGACATACCTTAAAAACACAAAGAAGCCACCCATAAGAGAACCCATGATTGTGTAATTCTGTTTATATGAAATATCCAGATCAGGCAAACCCAGATTGCCAGCTGCCAGGGACTGGTGTGAGGGAGCAATAGGGACTACCACTTAAAAGTTACACAGCTTCCCTTAGGGCTAGTCAAAAAGTGCTGGGTAAAAAG